AAATAATTTCTTATAGTTAACTTTGCATGTACTTTTCTTTCTTTCTAGGTTCTTTTTTTTTTTTTTTTTCCTTTTTTTCATTCCTTTTCAGCCACGTGGCCATGGGGTTAGCATCTGGCTCACCATAACACCCAGTTGCCTTTTTAAGTGTTTTCCAACTGTGGCTTTTGAGAATATACTTGCTCTTCTTAGATGACTGGACTTTTTGTTTTCTTAATCCCCTGTCTCATTGTCCTACTGGTCATTGTTTTCTCTGATTCATTCTTTTTAAAATGATGCTTTCCTTTCCTCTCCGTATCTTCCCAGAATTAATATGCTACATATTTTAGCTGAGGTGCTTGTGAAATAAAAGACTGGTGAAATAGTTTTTCACTTGAAAACAGATGACATTATCAATACATCCTCAATGAATTTTGTAATTTGGAGAAAAATCCACGAAACCATTTAAAAAGATTACAGAATTAATTTGGCAAGAACCAGATTACAGAGTGCACACTAAAATTTCTATATAGGAAAGATCTGTAAGAGGAAGCAACATGGGCCTCCTAGAGTAGTGGTAGATTTCATACTTGCTTGAGTGCCATGAGATGGGGAAAGAGAGGTAACTTGGCATTTTAGATAGGGACCAGAACACAAAGGCATCCGTGTGGGACTGGGTATGGAGGAGGATACAGGGAGGGTGGTGTTGGGAATGTGAGAGATCTGGTTAGATGGATTAGATGAAACTGGGCTAATGAGGTTTTGAAATATCAATTGGAATGGACTTCCTCCTCTTAATTCTGACGACATCAAGTCTAAATCCTTCCCAAGAACTCAATAGATGCTGAAGTCGGCACCACTTAGATTTTTTTCAGAAATTTAAAACAGAAATGATAGTAAGTTGAAGTACCTTTCCAAGAACTCAAAATTGGGAAGACCTGAAAATAAGACAACAGTGGTAATCTCATAAGAAGTAAATGATGAGGGCCTGGACAAAAAGGGAAGGGGGGGGTCAGAATGAAGAAGTGTAGGAGAGAATTTTTTTAATAATTCCAAGCATTTTTCCCATTTTTTTAAAACATTTAATATCATTTTGACAATTATATTACCAACAGTGAATCACATATTGACTTCTTTGTAATATTGGGTTACTTTTGTCTTTCTCAGTGAATGGGGGATCTTGGTCTGGTGAACCTCCAAGGCGGAACAGCCATACCTTCAACTGTCGGATGCTAGTAAAATCTCTGCCCGAATCCGAAGAGGAAGGCCATGATAACCAGGAAGCACATCAGAAATATGAAACTATGCAGTGCTTTGCTGTTTCTCAACCAAAGTCCATCAAAGAAGAAGGAGAAGGTAGAGCACTATCTTTGGGATAGTTTGTGGCTGTGTCTGCTCCTGTGCTACGTCGTTCACTTTTTAATCATTTATACTGTATATACTTGTGTATAAGCCGAGTTTTTCAGCACATTTTTAATGCAGTTTTTGTGGTAAAATTAGGTGCCTCGGTTGATATTCGGGTTGGCTTATACTCAAGTATATACGGTAATTCATGATCATGTTAAGAAAAATGTAGAGGTAGTTTCTTTGTCCTTCTCACCTACTTCACAATGACTGGCTTTCATGATAAATCCCATTTTTTAAACTTTCTGGAACAGTACCATCTAATAAAACTTTGTATGGTGGTGACAGTGTTATGCCAGGGTGGAGGGTTATAGAAAAATTCCATGATTTTAAATCCATTTTTGCCACATACTCTGAAACTCCCTTGTCCACTGTCCACTGGAATGTTGAGCATTTGACTAAGGCAACTGAAGTACTGAATTATTGTTTTACAATTAACTAGCCACATGTTGCTAATGACCACTGCATTGGTGTGGTGCTGCAGCATTGGTGGTTCGCCTTTTGACGACCCTAAGCTTCCATGAAAATCTAATGATAGTTATGGCCACAGCCCTAGAAAATACACACAGGTACAAACATTTTTCATATACTTAATTGATCCCTCATAGCTTATTCATGGGCACTGAACTTTAGACTGTGGTGCAAGAGCAATGGGAATGGGGTGGGGCAGGGGGGTGGTTGAATCAGAGCTCCAGCTATAGGCTGCCAGACTGTTTCCCTTAAAGAAATGCGGATGGCTGTGTGTCCCTCCAAGTCCACACAGCTGAGGTAATAATGAAGAGTGTGTTCTGCATGAATGTGGAAAGAACAAAGGACCACTAGTGAAGTGGTTTACAATCAGACAAGCCTCTAACTTTGGGCGACTTCCTTGAGTTCTCTGAGCATCATTTTATTTTCAAGTGAAGTCAGTTTTACCATTATTAGAATGCAGCAAGGAATAGATGAGTATGTGTGAATCATAGTTGACCCATCTTTTATACTTACTATGTAAAAACCTTGATTCAGTTGTATTAGAGAGACTATATTTAAACATTTCCATTATCTTTAAAACTGGATTCTGTATATTAACACCAAATGAAAGAGCGTGGTTTGCTTCCAATCCAGTCTATACTGAATTTTTACATTGGGCAAGTTGTTTGACCTCTACACTTTGGTTTTCTCTTCTGTGGTGGAAAGAGTATCAGGACCTTTGACATTGGTGGCTGCACCAAGAGACTCGAGCATAGCCATTGGGGGGCTATCAGGACTGGGCAGTGTTGTTCTGTAGTGTATAAGATCAACATGACTGAACTGACTCGATGCGACTAACAACCACCTTCTCTCCTAGAGGATTACATTTTAACTTTGTGATAGCATTGAATTATTGAATAAAGTTTCAAGAAATGCTTTTCCAAATGTAATGAACGGTCCTAAATCAATAACATAAAAATATATGAAAAGACTTAAGCATCTTTGTAATCCAATATTAGTGAAATTCAGATAATACAATGTACACTGAATGTTAAAAAATACATAAAACATTTCTCTGCTCTTCAGAAGTGAACATAGATGTAGAAAACAGTTGAAGTGAGCTGAAGAACAAATTCCTGGGTCTTTGGCTATTTGAGAAACTAGCTGTGGCCATGCCTCTGAACTGTACTGGGGCCGTTTATGGCACACATTATGTTTTCCAGATACTATGAGATGTAGTCTTTAAATATGTCTCTGAAGTCTTCGTTTTAAATTGCACATTGACATTGTATGGTTATTTATATACTTTGTAAGATAATATAGTTTTCCTGTTTCTTAAATTTAGATCTAGTTTTCTGTAGATTGGTGGGCCCAACACTCAAGAAACAAGCCTGTGATTATGCAGAACATCAGATTTTCATTTCCATTTTTAAATTATGAATGAAATGGTTGGTTTCTAGCAGCCTTTTACTGCAAGACTTCAGGGTTCTCCCCCAGCGTCACTGGAGAGATGGTTCCCAATGGCAGTAGAAGGTTCTTACCCCGTGTTTTATGAGGTGACTTCCCTCGCGTATGCACCCTCCCCCCTTCTACTCCCCACTTCAGTTGAGGAGAGGGCAAGATCAGCAAGGATCAGAGGCACTCAGCCTTTTATCGCTCTCCCCTTGATTGAATAAAAAGCTGGTGCTATCCTAAATATATTTTAGGTTGTTTGTCATTTTAAAAGCCCGATTTTATCAACTTGACTGTGTCTGATTTCAGATTTGCAGTCCTGCCTGATTTGTGTGGCTAGAAGAGTCCCCATGAAGGAGCGGCCCGCTCTTCCCTCGTCAGAAAGTTTTACTACTCGCCAGGACCTCCAAGGTAACACCCTCCCTCCCCCAAAGAAAGATCAAGCTCCTTTAGAACGCTTGGGTTTGTGATAGCAAGCGACGTGCAGAGTGTGATGGAGCTGGTAATGGCCGTTGTTGCTGCGGTAGACACCCACAGGAGCTGGAGGACAGGAAAGGGGAAGCACGCCAATTCTCACCGCATGCCCTGTGTTACTATGACTTTCATACATGGGGTGATATGGGCTTTCTTAATGAACGAATGAACAAAAGGTAAGGGTTTGATCACCACCTTTAAAGAACATACCCATCTCTAGGTTTAAAGCTGCTATTATTTAATAGGCAAGATCACTTCTCTGGATACCAGCACCATGCGGGCAGCCATGAAACCAGGCTGGGAGGATCTGGTGAGGAGATGCATTCAGAAGTTCCATGCACAGCATGAAGGGGAATCTGTGTCATACGCTAAGCGGCATCATCATGAAGGTAAGCATCTCTAAAGGATAGTTTTCTTCTAAGCCATGTTTTTTTGGTTTTTGTTTTTTAAACTTAACTGCTCCCTGTAGAAGCTTTCTCTCAAACAATGACTCCTGAAATACAGCTCAGGCACCCAGATCTCAATCTCATGACTCTGTGTGGCTCCTGTGTACCTGGGCCATGTGGCCCATAAGGTCTAGCCATCGCAATGGAAATTTAACCAGTGAACCTGTTGGACAAAGAGTATGCTGAAGGAAATAAGAAACAGTGATTTCACATAAACAGAAAAATAAACAAAGTCATTTTCTTTGATTCTAACACTTTTCAGTACATAAGCCAAGATAAGAAGATACCATCTAATACCACAAAACACATTATCTGATTCCTTAGGAACATTTGGAAATCATAGTGAAAAGAAACTTGCAAGATCTAATGAATTTCACTGGAAAGTCAAGCCCTCCTTGTTGATGCCCAACACAGAGTACCCAGATTTGGGCCAAGGAAACCCAGACAGTTCACATAATACCACAGCTAGAATTAAATTGAAGACTTCCAAGTTATATTTCAGGAATGATAGTAGCCATTATTGAGCTGCTGCTCTTACTTGGCATCGAGTTTGCCTTATATTATCTCGTCTCTCACAGCAAACCTGACTCGTTTTTCAGGTGTGAAAGCCGAGCCATGTGAGAGGACTGGCTCGAAATCCTTGCATCAGTCAGTGGACACAACGGGATCCCCATCTGAGGCCTGGCCTGATAGTCGCTGTGCCTGTGCTGCTCTCCAAATTCTTCCCACACAATCACTTTCTTCTCAAGTGCCTTTCAGTTCTGTGCTGGTGAATCAATAACAAGAGCATTCCTTTATTTTAATAAATGCTACATTGGGGAGCACTTCTTCCTCCTCCTGAGCTTTGATTCTCCTCTGGTAGACACTTTATGACAGGTGCGCTCAGTTAAGGTATGCGGATGCCCCAAGGAATTTGGAGTCCTTAAGTCAGAACTCAGGGCGGTGCCGTGTACCTCGTACCTCCGCTCCCCACAAGTTTCTGCAAAATTGCTAAAACCACAGCTTACATTTGTCATTGTCTGCATAACATGCCCTGTGACCTTGGCATTTTGCCTGTGGTGTTTGTACGTTGCTACTAAGGTTCTCATTCATTCCTGCATGGGTTTGTTCCCAACAGAAGATGTTTAAACACCTCTCTGCAATCATTGGATGCCTGTAGACAACTTCTCTCAGTAAACCTATGTAGTGTGCACTATTAGCATCTCTCTAGGTTCTTAATATCCATTGCCATGGCTACACAGACCTCACAGACAAATTTCATCATTAAAGGGTTTATGAATGAAGTTGGCAAGTGGTAATGCTAATGAGAACTGGCTCAGGGTTGAGTTGTTTGTCATGCATGTTAAAAAGTGCTCTCAGGTCTGCTAATCTCCAAAGGGGCATGCCACTATGCTGTAAGCCTCAACCCAAAGACATTCAGCTCAAGTTCTGTGGGTCAGCAAACCCAGCTCCCCGAATTAAGTGCCCAGAGGCTCCCCACTCCAGTAAGCCTCAGCCCAACGGCACTCACCTTCACTTCCATGGGTCAACAAGCCAAGCTTCCCCAATAAGGGCCCAGAGGTACCCCACATGGCAAACCAGTCCCCTGCACAAAAGCACTCAGTTCTTTACTTTGCTCCACGGGTTGGGAAGTCTATCACTCTGTTGTTCCCTGCTCTGGCTCCTGGTTCTGCTGCTGCTCCTCTGATAGTATAGCTGTCTTCTGAAACCATTGTATAAGGATCTTGCGCTCAGATGAGAATCCCTCCTCCTACTTCTCAGAGGACTCATTTTATATGCAGCAGGATGACATTGCAGGGAATCACGGTCACAATTACCCACAGGTGAATCCTGTCAATGCCGTCCCCCACCTTCCTACCAGACGCTTGCAGGAAAAGGACGCTTAGCCGGCATTAGAGACCTTAGCTGGAAGAGCCACGTTAAAGAATTCACGGCCGCTGCTGTTTTCCCTGAACAGTTAGACTGCAGGTCCTTCTTCCTAGTCTGTCTTAGTCTAGAAGCTCCGCAGAAACCTGTCCACCATGGGTGGCCCTGATGATATTTGCATTACCAGTAGCACTGGCTTCCAGCATCACAGCAACATACAAGCCACCAAAGCGTGACAAACTGACAGACAAGTGGAAAAATCTTGAAATCATTTTAAGAAACATTTTACTTATTAGTTTTTGTATTTTATTACATGATTTTTTTGTATTTTCAGGTTTTATCTGTCTTAAAAATGCCAGCACCTGCTCCTTTACTGACAAATTAAAATAAACTACCTGTCACTAAGAGTAATTTGTACTATGTCTTTGGTTTCTGTCTAGCTTTTTTTCTTTCTTTCTGGAAATATTTTTCTGTTGTTTAGCTTTTACTTCCTGTTGTCTTAACCACAGAAAAAATATAATGTGAGGCAGAATTGGTGGAAAGGAATGTGGAATGATATATTGAATAGTATGTGACTTCCAGCTGAATATGCCGAGAATATTGCATTTAAAATCATATTTTGGTAACATTTGTATTAGTTTAAAGGAAAATTAAGGGCAAATTGTATATTCTGTGGTACTGTGTTTATACACTGTATTGTTTTCTGGCATTTTAAACAAGTCACTGGAAAGTCTGTTGTGCGCTAATATAGAGTTCATACTCTGATTTTCTGTGGTACTAAAGATTCAGAAAAGGACAGTGCTTGAGGGTCCAGGCCACGTATGGCAAAAGTGGTGTGTTGTCTTTATTGGCATTTTGAATGGCAGGTAAATGCACTCTTGAAACTTTACGGTCTTTTAATAGCATGTGATATTCTCCTTAGACTCCTTAATATGTGTGTAAACAAAGTACTAAGCCTGATGAAATGTATTAGTTGTTATAGTCGTCCTCCCTTCCCTCAGTTTTTTCTCTAAACATGCCTTTCGTTCACTTGCTTGCCTGCAGTGCTAAGACAAGGACTGGCATTCAGTCAGATCTATCGTTTCTCCTTGTCCGACGGCACTCTTGTTGCGGCCCAAACGAAGAGCAAACTCATCCGTTCTCAGACTACTAATGAACCTCAGCTGGTAATATCTTTGCATATGCTTCACAGGTAATCCTCTTTCTAAGAAGTTGTTTACAATCTGTTACCAAGCAACACGTCATCGTAGAGCTTTTCAGACTTCTTAGGCATTGGGTTGACCAACCCTAATGATGTAATATGAATACGTGAGATCTGTTTTGTTTGGATTTGTGAACACATTTTGGTAACTTGGAGTGAAGTAGTATGTACATATTACGTCATTGGGGTTGATCAACAGAAATGCCTATATATGTGTGTGTGTGTGTGTGTGTGTGTGTGTATACATATATAATTTGTATATATTATTTTAACTACTGGCTAAAAGACAACTCAATGTAGGTTACCCTTTGAATTATGTCCAAAATAGTAAGTGTGTTTAATGTAGCTAGAAGCACATAAGGCTAGAATTAACTTGGCACTGATATGACTACCTGTTACATCAGAGAAGGGAAATCCAGCAGTTCACCATGGGGTGCCACTTGTGTGATAGCAATGTGTTTGATTCTAAAAATTTCAAATTCATATGCTTAAAAGGAGTGTTTTAGGTTTAAATTAGCTTCTTGGCATTTGGCTAAAATGGAAGAGTAATAAACATTTTCCTCAGAAAATGAAAGTAAACTGAATGTTGATATGTAAAGTAAATGTCCTAAGTCAGTGGTTCTCAACCTTCCTAATGCCACGACCCTTTAATACAGTTAGTTCCTCATGTTGTAGTGACCCCAAACAGTAAAGTTATCTTCGTTGCTACTTCATAACTGTAATTTTGCTACTGTTATGAATTGGGCAACCCCTGTGAAAGGGTCGTTCTACCCCTAGGTTGAGAACCGCTGTCCTGAGCAATCCTGTTCTAGAGCACAAATATCAGAAGGTGATTAAATGTCGAGTTAATAGAAATACTAAACTTTATGAGGTACTATCAGAAGATACATAAAACTGCTTGGTCTAAGAGTACAGTTATTACCTTGGTCAATTATTTTCCCTTTTTTACTCAGGAATTGAAAAATAATAATAATAAGCAGCCCAGTTTACCATCTGTTAATAAATCTGACCTCAAACTGAAACAATTTGTAAATGATTACAGCTGTGCCAAATTTCACTCACCTCACTTAACGCTGGTGTTTGACAGTTTGTGAGATCTGTTTTGTTTGGATTCGTGAACACATTTTGGTAACTTGGAATGACTGCCAAGACTGTAAAATTAAAGTTCCTTGGACTTGGAAAGTCATCTAACGTAGAAAACCTGGTTTTAGTCATTAGTGAAGAGGTGGATATTGGAGTTGTCTAGGAGTAGGGCAATAAAATCACACTCGGGTCACTGAGAAGTTGCCTCTCAGCCAAGCTGTCTGTCTTGGAGGCTCATGCTCAGACTTGCAGAGGCTGGGGTGGGGTGGGGGGTGAATTGAAACTGTTTGACACGAGGCTGTACCTCGGAGCACTTTCAGTAACTTGGTTGGCTCCAGAACTTGCAGAGTGACTATAACAGGGGCAGGTTTTCTCCCCCTAAGTGCTTTTCATCCTGAGCCAAGTGAGACAGATCGGAACCCTTCTTTCAGGCATACAGATGTGCCTATTGTTAGGGACTGGAATCTGGCATGTAATTAAATACAGCTATACTTGTGTGAGCCACTGCTTTAAGATGGTGCAAACTCTCACTCATGATAATAAACTGTTTAATGAGAAAGCTATATTATGTAATGGTAGCACATGTCCTGTGTCGTTGCCCCACCACCCACCACCACCACCACCACCACCACCAGTGTCTTATCTAGTAGCTGCAATCTCAGTGTAGTGGTAGTCAGATGTAAGCACAGCTCCTCTCTGAAACCGCAGACATCTTAATGAGTTGACTGAAAAGCATCCCTTTTTGGTCCCAAACTCTACATGTCCAGTCTTGTCCATAATTGCAGATGGCTTCATCAAAGTATTATCTTTCCTTTAAATGTAGTTTACTCTCTTAAAGAAAGAAGCAACCTCCCTTAAAAAAAAAAAACAACTAACAAACAATTTACCAGGTATTTTGAATTTTAACTTTTTTCCCTCTCTTGTTTTTATGCAGAGAGCAGAATGTGTGTGTAATGAATCCAGATCTGACTGGACAAGCTATGGGGAAGCCAATGAATCCAATTAGCTCTAGCAGCCCTGCCCATCAGGCCATGTGCAGTGGGAACCCAGGTCAGGACATGACCCTCAGTAGCAATATAAATTTTCCTATAAATGGCCCAAAGGAACAAATGGGCATGCCCATGGGCAGATTTGGTGGTTCTGGGGGAATGAACCATGTGTCAAACATGCAAGCAACCACTCCTCAGGGTAGTAACTATGCACTCAAAATGAACAGTCCCTCACAAAGCAGCCCTGGGCTGAATCCAGGGCAGCCCAGCTCCATGCTTTCACCAAGGCATCGCATGAGCCCTGGAGTGGCTGGAAGCCCCCGAATCCCACCCAGTCAGTTTTCCCCTGCAGGAAACTTGCATTCCCCAGTGGGAGTTTGCAGCAGCACAGGAAATAGCCATAGTTACACCAACAGTTCCCTCAATGCACTTCAGGCTCTCAGTGAAGGGCACGGGGTCTCCTTAGGGTCATCGTTGGCATCACCGGACCTAAAAATGGGCAATTTGCAAAACTCCCCAGTAAATATGAATCCTCCCCCACTTAGCAAGATGGGAAGCTTAGACTCCAAAGATTGTTTTGGACTTTATGGGGAGCCCTCTGAAGGTACAACTGGACAAACAGAAAACAGCTGCCATCCTGGGGAGCAAAAGGAAACAAATGATTCCAACATGCCCCAAACTGGGAGCAGTGAGAGACCTGATGGGCAGAACAGACTGCACGACAGCAAAGGACAGACCAAACTCCTGCAGTTGTTGACCACCAAATCGGATCAGATGGAGCCCTCGCCCTTATCCAGCTCTTTGTCGGACACAAGCAAGGACTCCACGAACAGCTTGCCTGGCTCTGGGTCAACGCACGGCACGTCGCTCAAGGAGAAGCATAAGATTTTGCACAGACTTTTGCAGGACAGCAGTTCCCCTGTGGACCTGACTAAGTTAATCGCAGAAGCCACCGGCAAAGAGCTGAACCAGGAGCCTGGCGGCACAGCTCCGGGTTCAGAAGTGACTATTAAACAGGAGCCAGTGAGCCCCAAGAAGAAAGAGAATGCACTACTTCGCTACTTGCTAGATAAAGACGATACTAAAGATATCGGTTTACCAGAAATAACCCCCAAACTTGAGCGACTGGACAGTAAAACTGACCCTGCCAGTAACACAAAATTAATAGCTATGAAAACCGAGAAGGAAGAGATGAGCTTTGAGCCTAGTGACCAGGTAAGTTTTATAATATATTCTCCCAAGAATACTAATCCACATACATCAAATCTCCATAGGGGCATTTGGGGGCCTCAGGTGATTAGGTAAAAATAACACTTAATTCTCACTGAAACTATGTGTTACTTACAGAGTAGCACTGGCATGAGACCGGTGTGGCAAACTTTTTCCGTAAAGAGGCAAAGAAAAACAAGCCTGCAAGTCAGTTTTGACTCGGATGTAGGGTTTTCTGAGTCTGTAAATCTGTACGAGAGCAGATAGCTTCATCTTTCTCCTGCAGAGAGGCTGGTGGGTTTGACCCTCTGACCTTGAGGTAATGTTGAATATGAGTTTACAGGCCATAATACCTCTGTCACACCTATTTTCTTCTGCCATCGTAGTACTAAAGCCGCCCTAGACAATGTGTAGACGAGTGTGGCTGGGCAGCTCTAAAGCTTTGTGGATGGACACTGAAATAAGAATTCATGTTACTCCCATCTGTCACAAGTCTCAGTCCTTTGGTTTTTAAAATGTATTTATTTCTTCTTTTTTAACCATTGGAAACTGTGAGCATGGTCCTTAAGCTCTGGGGCTCCACGAAAGCAAAGGGTGAGCCAGATTTGGCCCATAGGCTGTAGTTTCCTGTTACAGAAGATGTGCCCCAAACAGGATACAATCGCCTCCTCGGAACCGAGCTCTGTGAGAATGGACTTGCTTGAACGATTTCTAATTTACTTTTCTCTACTTGAGATCAGCATTTAACTAATACTTAACTTAATGAAGATCATCCTACCGTGAATTGTTCACTGACACTTGGATTCGTACAGATGCGTTTCTTAGACCTATCGGACAGATGTAAGGGGAAGTGAATGGTAGGAAATGAGGGGTCAAGTTTGAAGTCATGGGTTAGTGGGTGGGGGCAAGTAAGCCATTTAATAACCTCTTACTATGTTTTTTGTTTTGATAACATAGATAGGAAATTAATTTCTCATTTAATATTTCTACCCACATTATTCAGTGACATTGGTTACACTTTTCACAATATGTCAGCGTTCTCATTATTTCCATTCTGGTTGTTCTACTTACATTAATGTAGCTTCTTTAATTCTCCTTGCCTTCTCCTCATCTTTGGTCTGGGACAGGGAACCAGCAAACTGCGCTCTCAAGCCATATGGCGGCTCTTTCGGCACATACACGGGGCTCTGAAGTAAAATTGGAAACATTTAAAGGATATTATTCAGATAATGGAGTTTCATTTGTTTGTAAAAATATATTAATGGCTCTCGAATAATTTTTTAATTATTGTGAGACAGAATTGGCTCTTGCATCTCAAAAGTTTACCGACCTCTGGTCTAGGGTTGTAGGTTATAGGTTGACCATTAGATCTCATTCAGATTTAGATGACTGTGTAGAGGAACACAGCACAACTCATGGCAGTATTATTGATCTCATCAGTCAGTCTTTCTTTTGGCTCGAAGGCGACCACTGAGAGTGGCTTCGGTTCCATACGTACCGTCATTTCCCAGGGCAATAGTCTCTGGGTTTCTTCTAGTTTTGTTGTACTTTGTCTTTCATTTTATCCTGGATCGTGTGTTGGGTCTGTGATGGAATTGAGCAGTAGTAGTAGCCGGCCACCATGTAGTTCTCCTGGTCTCAAGGTAAAGGAGGCCATGGTTCATATAGACTATCTGTCCTGTAGACTAGGTTCTTTGAATCTTTGGTTTACTTTTTGGTCTTATAAGCGTTGCCCTGATGATTGACCATGTTATCCTTTTTTGAGACTCTGACGTTAAGCCCTCAAACTCAGTAACTTAATCCCAAAAGGTGTTTGGTTCTGAATGGGAGGTATCCATAATTGTGTCTCTTACAATTTTCATTGTATGTCTGATTTTTTTTGTATTCATATATGAATATGAGTATTTTAAATAGAAGAATATAAATATTTCATGTGTGAATTTATGGCACACACCAACATTTACATACATTTGCCAAAAGATGCATCTGTATACTCAGATTTGTATATTCATATGTGCTTACACCTATCTGTATAGCCACTCCATGGGAGAAAAATAGAACAGTCAGCTTCCAAAAGGGTATGGCTTCATGGGGCACTTCTACTTGTTCCTGTAGGCTCAAGGTGAGTCTGAATCAACTCAACAGGAGTTGGTTCGGTTGGGCTGGGGTTTTATTACTGCTATTGCACAACTATCTATTGTGGCTTTTACCAGAGCCATGTGTACATCTTGGTCAAGTTGTGCTGACTCACCTTTACTCAGTATTGCCTTACCCATTACCAAAACTAACAAGTCCACTCTCTAGAAAGTCACTCTTCCCCCCCCCCCCACGCAAAAGCACTGTCTCCCGCATCCCTGGTAACCACCAAAGAATGTTGCTTTCTTTATGTATAGATATTCTTGTCTTTTTATAGCAGCCAGCTCATTCTCTAGTTGCTCTTCTGGAATTTATTTCACTCAGCATAATCTCTTCCAGTTTCATCCTTTTTTTTTTTTTTTTTGAGAAGTCATCAATATTCTTTATGTGACAACATAGTTCCCAAGCTTATTTAGCCTGCCACCCCCTTCTTATAAAAAAGAAAACTCAACACCCACTAGCAATTAAAAATTTTTATACTATAGCCCACAATCCAGGGGGCTATAGTATATATACTATAGTATAGTATAAATGTAGTTATCTACTTTTACAGATACCCTGGGTGGTTCCAGCACCCCCAGGGGGAGCCATAGTGCCCCTTTTGGGAAACACTGTACTATGTAATCTCTCCATTCATCTGTTGATGAGCAGTCAGGTCGTTTCCATCTTATTGCTGTTGTGAATCATTCTTCAATGAACATATGTCTGTAGTTTTCGTTCTCTAGAGTACACACCTGAGAATGAGATTGATGGGTCATAGGATGTATCTCTTTCTGGCTTTTTGACCCCCAACCATTTCCTATAGTACTTGACCAGTTTACAGTCCTACCAGTAGTAGGTCAGCAGCATTTCAGTAGCTCTACAACCTCCCCGGCACTTGTTTTCTGGCTTTGTAATCAGTGCTGTTTCTATAAGCGTGAGAGATGGTATCTCATTGTAGTTTTGATTTTACATCTCTTTGGTCACTGATGATTGTGAGCTTCTTTTCATGTGTTTGTTGTCTCCTTGAATGTCCTCTTGGGTGAAGTGTGTGTTCAGGTCTTTTGTTCATTTTTTCCATTTAACTTGCCTTTTTGTTGTTCAGTTGCTGAGATTATAGATCTTAAGAGCAAACTCTTGTCTGCTGTCATTCCCAGGATTTTCTCCCCAATCCATATGTTCTCTTTCTTCCTCTTTTGATAATGTGTGTGTGTGTGTGTGTGTGTGTGTGTGTTAGGTGGAGGTTGGCATATCACATCATCGTTTTCCCATTCATCATTTTAAAAGGCTCACTCTATCTCTTCCTCCTATCCCCTCTCTATGTGTCCCACCTCCCTCTTGTGGTAACCCCTTCACCAGCATTAACGCCTCTCCACACTCCCCGTCCTAACCCTGGTAATCATCAAAATCTGCTGCTTTTGATATGAAAACCTTTTCTTGATTTTTTTTCTTTTTAAATAACAGTGACCTCATAAAATATTTGTTCTTTTGGCTCTGATTTATTCACTCAGCATAATGTGTAGTATTCCATTGATAACTTTTTTTAATGAGCATAAGCTTAAATTTTGGGAAGTCCCAGTTATCTAACTTTTCTTCTGTGACTTACATTTGTCAGGTGTTTGGTAATAATCTATTGTGGGGTGGTGTATTAGTCTAGGTACTTTGGAGAAACAAATCCACAGCAACTCATGTATAAGAGAGTTTTATGTAAAGAAAA